AATTCTGGGAGTTGAAGTCCACCCATCTTCAAGTTGCTGAGGTTGAGGAACACTGATCTGGAGCATAGTTTCTGGATCTGGGTCTCTCTGTTTCTTCTGGCTAGTTCATTTAACTGATCTATGAGCTATTGCTCCAGATGTTATTGTTATCTTCATCATCATCATATTAATTTTATTGATATTATGAAGCCTTTTTTCTCTCAAGGGAGCCCAGAGTCTCACTGACCAAGTCGGGAAGAACCATAAATCAATCTTTGATTAAAAACCGTTCATGAAGCCATCTGGCTCCCGACAAGGCAGGAAAAACAAGGAAAAATACCACGAGAGCAAACATTTTTAAAGCCGCAACCAAATCCTACTGATTGTTCCTGTGTTTTTTTTTAAGATAGGAGAGATGCAAGTAAACTCCACGCTTGATCAGGGCATTATGGCTGTGAAGTTGCATCACTCAAAAATTAACTATTGGAAGTTCTTGGAGGGGGGTGGCTTGGAAGGGAGGTATGTTGAATTCGTGGGAGCTTAAAATTCTAGATGTCAGAGCTGCTCTGTGCGAAGGAACGTAAGCCCAGAAGGAATGAGTGAACTGTTAAGGGAGGACTTGCATGAAAGATTTCCCTGAGAAAAAAGAAAGCGTGAGATAAAACCCAAAATAACCCCACCTTGGTTTTGTTTTATATAAGAGGAGACAGAGAGAAACTCAGACAGGCTCTCAAGAATCTGTTATTTTTACCTTGCTAAGATAAAAGGCATTTGTGGAACCTCTGCCACTTCTGGTTCTTGACTGGGCCTACCTCGAAGGGCTGTTGGGGCAAGGGGACGTTGAGCCCATAGTCCATCTCTCATTTGGTGCAAGTACAAATGTAAACGTGGTCGATACGGGGGCATCCGTGCAGGGAAGGCAGTTGCTAAAAGGATGTAATGGGAAGGAGGAATGGCCTTGAGGGACTGGAGGAAGAGCCGCTACGAGACAATGGTCAGATAAGAGAAATCTGAGTCTGGGGCAGGAATGTAACGTGAGAAAGCACCTCAGACTTGACCCTCCCTAGTTCTCATGAAGATCAGGGGAGGGAGGGGGAAGCACATTCAGACCTGCAAGATTCTGTTACCATACCCTTATAATAAAAGTAGCACGAGCCTGCATGACTCTGGTTTCCTAGTCTGGTCTACCTTGAGGGCTGACGCAGGGACTTCAATCACAGGGCACAGTTGGCCTCTTGACTCTTCTGACCCGTGGATGCCCCTGGTCACTGCCATACCTTGGCTCGGTCAGCCTGAGAGTTTGTCTCCCCAGGTACCTGGCCAGTGGGTCTGGGGACACCACCGTGCGCTTCTGGGACCTGAACACAGAAACCCCACACTTTACTGCCAAAGGTGAGTCTTGACCTGGGGAAGGGAGACTGCCCAGAAGAAGCAGGCTGGGATCTGTTGGGGTCACGCTCCGGTGGACTTTCTTCAGCCGCTCTCCCTCTTTTGTACCTTCACAGGCCACCGCCATTGGGTGCTGAGCATTGCTTGGTCGCCCGATGGCAGGAAATTGGCATCTGGGTGCAAGAACGGGCAGGTAAGGACTTGCTTCACCTTTCTTTCCTTTCCACAAAATGGGCTTGTGCCACCGACCCATGTGGGGCACAACTTGGCTTGGAAACATTGAGGTTCATGAGGACTAGCGGAACGTGCAGCATTTGCGAGTTGGATGGAGACATGTAGCTCCAAAGTCACATCCTGAACAGGCAGGGAAGGGCTGGGGATAATGGGAGCAGGAGTGTGACCCATTTGGATGACTCAAGGTGGGGGAATTAGCTATGTACCCAATTAACTGTTCAGCAGTTTTCACAGTGGGTAAAAAAAAAATGCTCGGTTTTTACAGGCTGTGGGTGCCCTGTGTTAAAATAAAACAAAAATAACAATGTTTACATTATAATTGGCTTATAAAATAATGTTCAAATTATGATGGGTTTTCATTTTATGTCTAAATAAATAAATAATCCCCCCTCTCCCCGTGAAAATGATTTAAAGTGAGATCCCATTTAAGGAGATGTAAATGAGGTTTGGTTTTTCTTGTAAACTGCAACTGTTTTCAGTTGAATTTAATTTTGGAAGTCAGAGAGTGACCCTCCTCATCCTGGCTTCTCTCCACGGAAGGATCCTAGGAATTGCGGGTTTTGGGGAGGGGGAGGGCTGGGGGTCAAATGGCCCCCTCTTGGGAATGTTTCCAGAGCCTTGGCAAGTCCAAATGTCTGAAAAACAGCTAGCCGTGCACCATATCCTCAGTACTTTTGGCAATGCCTCCTAGCAACTGATCAGCTGCCAATGTGCTAGCTGGGGAATTCTGGGAGTTGAAGTCCACAAGTCTTAAAGTTGCCAAGTTTGAAAAACACTGTGTTAGTATCCCCCGTGTACCTCCTGTGCAGATACTGCTCTGGGATCCAAGCACCGGGACCCAGATGGGCCGCATCCTGGTGGGACACTCCAAATGGATCACCTCGCTGTGCTGGGAACCTCTGCATCTGTAAGTCCCTCCACCACCCCCTTCCCTGGCTCTGCTCCTCTGGACGGGGGCAGCTGAAATTGCAGTCGTGCAATGATGTCTCTCGGACAATTTGTGTTGTTTTCATCTGCCTTTCTACCTAAGAGGCAGAAAAGAAAGACCTCTGTGCTCAGCAGGGCTGCACCCCAAGGGCGTCTGCCAGATTATTCAAAAAAGTCAAGATGGAGGCTGTACCCGTGCAGCCTGACGTTAGCGTATTTATGGATTTATTTATTTATTTATTTATTTATTTATTTATTTATTTATTTATTACAAAGCTTTTAATGCACCTTCAGTCAGGAAGGAAATCTAAATCATATTTAATAATTTTATTTTATGCTGTGCTATTTATGTTTTTATTGGTTTTAAATTGTTTGGTTGTGAACTGCCCAGAGTCCCTCCTTGTATTTGATTTATAAATCAATAAAATAAATATAAACAGGGAATTTAACCTGGGTGTGAATAAAGCCCAATTAACAGGTTGGTAGGAGTAGGTTCGTGTCTTTTGCTAAGTTAAACACTTGGACAAACCTCA